AAAAAAAACATCGACTTTTTTCTAATGCATCGATGTATCGTATATAAAAATCGGTATTTTCGATGCATCGAATAAATTGAAAACATACAAGAAAATGGAACTATCGGACTTACAGCCCTATTCCGGTTTTGCAATAGAATGACAATTGATCATCCTTCATTGTCGTGATTTTGTCATTGTCGTTGCACGTTGCTATTCCTAACAAAAAATGACATGGTGAAAAGTTCATTGTTGTAGAAACAGCTGGTCAACGCTATTATTTGCAAAAAATATGAGCGGTGAAACACCAGAAAAGTGAGTATTTGTGTGAAATAGATAAATTCGTATATTTATAACATTTATAAATATTTTAGACGTGCAAAATATGAGCGGACGACGCAGGAGCAGCTGCAATTTTATGTGCAGTTTTGTAGGGAGCATCCGGAGCTGCTCGTCTTCCACAAGCACGGCTGCGCAAATAACTAAAATTTGTTCTGCCATTGAAATTAATTGATTTTTATATTTTTTCACAAATTTATTAAATCGTCGCACTTTTTAAACCAATACAAACATATGGTTTTGCTTTGTCCCCTACCCAAAAGGTCATGACAATAAAAATCACAATTGGGATGATTCGAGCTTTTGAATTTTGCTGCGAATACCAAAAAGCTGCAATGGTCATTTTTATATCAATTACACAGGTCAACAACGTTTTGTTCTAGGAAAGTGTAGGGTCATTTTCGAAGTAATTTTTTGCGTAGAATCCGAATCCGGGGTTTAAATTGCTCTATCACGTCAGGATTTTGAGATATCCTAACCTAAAAGTGCAAAAACGCTGTTTTTGCCCATTTTTGAGGTTATGTAGCTACGCAGATTTTGCTCTTCATAAAAAAGTAAACGTGGTATTTTAAAGTATAAGTCTTCCTCTTTTAAATGCCGTTGAGTTTGCTTAAATATCTTTATTTTTCACTGAGATATCGCATTTTGAAGTTTCCATGTTTGTGAATTTTTCGATATTCGAAAATCCATTGAGATAACATGAGACGTGATACGGGAGATTACATTCACAAACATGGAGACTTCAAAATGCGATATCTCAGTGAAAAAT